TCTCTGACCTTGGTGATTTTCCGGCAGACGTTTCATGACCCAACTAGATAACATCATCAGTGTTACGAGTAATGAAATGTCTGCAAGAGAACAACCAACCTCAGACAGCATCAAGGATCCCACAGATTGGGGGAGGGGGGGAGGGAAGATTCTATTTTTCCCGAAATGCATAGCTTCTTCCTCTCTTTGGATTGCATGCATGGGGTGGCTGCAAAAAACCGTTGCAAGGAGGAAATTGTTATCGGAGGTTACCAAGTGATCAGAAATGTTAATGTGTATATATAGTGGCTTGCATTCAACTTGGTAAGTCACAAATCTTTGAGGGTGGGTGATGGGAGACCGTTCTAGGCCTTCAGCAGGCACAAGTTCTGACAGGGTTATTTAAAAGGCCACGGTTCTTTCCGATAACAGTAACTCCTTACATACCTAAACACTTACACGGTACACCATAATTATCCTGCAGTGTATAATTAAGCAGTTTCTCTGCAGTCTGGGCGGTACACAGAATGTTTGTGATCCTTCCACATTTTGTTTATTTCTTTATTTGTATTTCATTTTTGTTAGTTTACAAATAATTCAAGGCAGCACATATATCCAACGTACCTCCCTCCTCCTATTTTCCCCACAAACAGCAACCCTGTGAGGTGGGCTGAGAGAAAGGCACTGGCCCAAAATCACCCGGCCGGCTTTCATGGCTAAGGTGGGACTAGAACTCACTGTCTCCTGGTGATTGGCTCAAAGTTATCCAGCTGACTTTCATGCCCAGTGCGGGACTAGAACTCCCCATCTCCGTGGGATTGGCCCAAAGTCATCAAGCCGGCTTTCATGGCTAAGGCGGGACTAGAACGCTCCATCTCCATGTGATTGGCCCAAAGCCACCCAGCCATCTTTCATGGTTTAAAAGAGACCAGAACTCCCTTTTCCAACTTTCTAGCCTCGTGTCTTAACCACTAGACCAAGATTATTCACATAAACCTTAATTAGCTGTGGGTCTTCCCATTCAATCAGGGCTTGATTCCTGAGATGGGGCTGCTTTGCTATATTTTACAACCATGTCCATATTTTCATGAGAATATTGTTGGATCAGATCCCCCAGGGCGGATGGCTGTGCAGAAAAAGAAAAGGGAGATAAATATAGATAAAGAAGAACCTCTGACTCTCTTCGGTACAGATATAAATATGAAAGACATGAATCTTTTGCTGTAAAACGAACCCTAACCCAGGTAGTCCTCAGCTTACAACCATTCATTTGATGATTATTGGGGTAACGCGGTGGTTCACGTGTTTGGACACCAGGTTGACAATCGGCAAGCCCGCGTTTGAGACCCAGTTGCTGCTGTGTGACGGGGCGAGTTCCTGTCATTCACTCCAGCTCCTGCCAACTCAACAGTTTGGAAAACAGGCGGCCGAAACTACATAGATGGATATCCCTTTTGGTAGGAAACCTAAGAGGGACATGAAACGAGCCCCCAACCGGGCATCCCCCTGGGCAACAGTGATGTCACCAGCTAATATTTTCACCCCATAAGTGCCTCGGTGCCTCCAACACCAAAGCCAGTATGACTCTTCAGAAGTTAGAACGGCACTGAAAAAAGCGGCTTAATGACCGGTTTTCACACTTATAACCATCAGGGGTGGGATTCTACCGGTTCGGAACGGTTCTATCGAACCGGTTGTTATGATTCAGTGCAGTTCAGAGAACTGGCAAACCGTGGCCCCTGGCTGGCCCCGCCCCTCTCCACCCACTTCTCGCCTCCCCGCCCAGTCAGTCCTTATCGTGCATGCGCAACATTGCGCACATGCCCGATATCGCTGACTGCGTTCTCCCGCGCCCAGTCACACACCTTAAGGTATTTGTTTTTTTCCCCTGACGATCAGCTGTTCCTATGATCAACTGTGCAGGGATTCCCTTCACTGTCTTACTGCTTCACCCAGGTGGCTTCCCTGAAGCCCAGGAGGGCAAAAAATGAAGGGGGGCACAGCACCCCCTGCCCCACCTCCATTTTTTGCCTTCCTGGGCCCCAGGGAAGCCTCCTGGGAGCAAAAATACCCCCCAGGAGACTCCCTTGAGGCACAGAAGGCCCCAAAAACAGAGTGCAGGAGGGGGTTGCTGCATGCCGTCCCCCCATGCTTAGTTGTTTTTTTTTTCCTTCCTGAGCCTCAGGGTAGCTTCCTGGGAGCAAAAACACCCCCACCAGGAGGCTTTCCTGAGGCCCAGAAGGCCCAAAAACGGGGAGGTGGGTGGATTGCTGCAAAAGAAGAGGAAGAAGCCATGCCCACCCAGTGTTCTGACCCACACCTTTTCCCAACAAATCAAACACCATCCAAAAGGAACAGAAACCTTGGAACGCTTTTACAAAATAATTAGCTGTGATAAGCACAAGCCTTGCCAAACTGTGCGAGACTTGCAAAAAAAAAGATAACAGGCAAGAAATAATTTGCAAAATAAGAATCTTCAAATACAAACTCAGGATACTGGAATATCCACGAGGCTGGAGTTTCAAAACGTCTTTGCCTTCTGCAAAGTACGTTCGTTTCACAGCTGGCTTTTATCTTCTTGAAGGAGGGGCCATTACCTTGCAGCCTTACTCCCAAGTCGCCCGTGTTGTTGCAGCTGCTCGTTCCTATGAGCAATCCTGTGTGCACGCGCACTTGGCACAGGCTCCTCGGGAACCTCCTCATCGCTGCTGCCAGCCCCCACAATCTCTGAAGGCAGCAGTACACTCCCTAATGGTCCTGGCCCCTCATCTGAGTCCTCGCTCTCCTCAGCTGTCCGCACCTGCTGCCGGCTAACCACAACACCCAGTTACATGGCCATGCCCACCTAACCACGCCCACCTAGCCACACCCACAGAACCGGTTGTTGCAAAATTTGAATCCCCCCCCCCCCCCCCCCCCCCCCCCCCCCCCCCCCCCCAACCCGGTGTTTCCAAAATTTCCCCCCCCCCCCCCCCCCCCAATAACCATTGCAGCATCTCCACGGTCCTGTGATCAAAATTCAGATCCTTGGCAACTGGCTCATATTTATGATGGTTGCAGTGCCCTAGAGTTGCAACCTTCTGACAAGCAAAGTGAATGGGGAAGCCAGTTCCACTTAACAACGTGTCACTAACACAGGCAGTGATTTGCATAACGAGCATGGCAGGAAAGATCCTAAAACGGGGCGAAGTTTACTTCACCGCTGTCTCGCTTAGGAACAGAAATCTGGGGCTCAAGGAACAGAAATCTATAACTCAAGGACTACCTGCACTAAGGACGGAGATATGTTGGACCCTGTTTGTGCCATCAGTATCAACAAGAGAAAGCCAGCAGAGGAAAATATTAAAATCTGGACAGCTAAACAGCAGTTTTAAAATGCTTCCATTGCAGGCTGGCGATGAGACGCAGGCCATTATCATCCAATCATGGTGCATAACACAGTTCATAGCCCATGTTCCTTGGAGCATTTTTAATCCCATGAATAAGTGAGGACAGTCAACCAGTGGAACAATGGAGCCTCCAGAATTTTTTGGGGTACTCCCATCACTGCAGGCTTTTAAGAAAAGACTGGACAGTCACTTGTCTGAGATTGTATAGGGCCTCCTGCTTGAGAAGGGGTTGGACTAGATGACCTCCAAGGTCCATTCCTGCTCTCTTCTGATTGATTGATTTCCTCACCACCACCACTACACACACACAAAATTAGGGAGATGTGAGAATTGACCCCTCTGCAACTTTTCGGAGATTTTTTTTCCACGCCTGGCCGAAGTTGGGAGAAAATGTTGCTGGCTGGGGACGATGGCAGTTGTAGTCCAACAGAGCTGACAGGGGCCTTTGATTAAAAAGGGAGAAGAGACAGGGATATTTTTGTCCCCAACATCACTAGGAAAAGAAAACCTTCCTGCCATAAATATCCCATCGTTAAAAAACAACAACAACGGAATAATGGTTGGAAACGGAACAAGGAGAGTTTCAATCTGGAAATAAGAAATTTTTTGATAGAAGTTGGCTTCGGAAGTTGCGGGAGCTTCATCCCTGGAAGCTTTCAAGAGGAGACTGGACTGCCCTGTCAGAAATGGTGTAGGGTCTCCTGCTTGGGGGCAGGAGGGTTGGACTAAATGACCTACAAGGTCCCTTCCAACTCTGTCCATCTGTAAATCTGTAAAACATTGTCTCTACCAACATGATGTGCAAAGCAGCAGGTTGCTCGTGGCACCGTGGCTTCTGCAAATAACGGCGGCAATGCCTCCCACTTGGAAATTTAATTTCTGGATGGACCCCCCTACACACACACACACACACAGCCAAGGAATCTGAACTCACACTAGGAAACCCTTAACGTTAAGACTTTGCAAGGCAATCGAACCAAGCGGGGGGGAGGGGGCGATGAGAAAATGGAAGCTCTCCTTGATAAATTGGGACAAGGAAGCATATGCATACTTCCCCCCCCCTCCCTGTTTTTGGGGAGAGTGGGTTTGGGGGCAGCACACTTTGGATTTCTAAAATAGGTTAGCTCTGAAGGCGGCCTCTGCTGTTGAATGTAAAGAGAAGAAGGAGGTAATTTTAGAAAGTGCTAGTTGACCTCCGGCCCCTCCATCTGTCGTGTTGGAAGGACCTATTTAAAGAGAGGGTGGGCAGGCTTCGGGCTTTGGGGTCGGCTTTGGTGGGGGTGTTTTATTAAGGGACCCACCCACCCCAAATCCCAAAAAAGAGGCACGAAAAAGAGACGTGTTTTAGACGAACACGAGGGCCATGACAAACATCTGTCTCTTGAGTGCTGGATTTGTCATAGTCTCCTCAAAAAAATCTGCTCCGGAGTTACAGATAATCCTTGACTGACAACCCAAATTCCCGTTGCTAAACGATTGTTAAGTGAGTCACACCCAATTTTATGGGGGGAAAAGAGAGAGAGAGAGAGAGAGAGAGAGAGAGAAAGAAAGAGAAAGAAAGAAAGAAAGAAAAAGAAAGAAAGAAAAAGAAAGAAAGAAAGAAAGAAAGAAAGAAAGAAAGAAAGAAAGAAAGAAAGAAAGAAAGAAAGAAAGAAAGAAAGATTAAAGTGGCTCTCAACACAAGTTGCCTTCAGAAGTTGTAGGAGCTTCATCCCTGGAAGCTTTCAAGAAGAGACCAAGACCACCACCTATCAGAAATGGTGTAGTGTCTCC